TTTCACAGACACAGTGTGACAGCGCCTTATGCCAGGTCCCCATGCTGTCCACACTCCCAGAGCCAGGTAGTCACAGCCAGAAGTGTCTCCTCCTGGACCCCTTCACCCACTGGGACCACCCCCTTCAGCGCCCACCATGGCACCCCCCAATCTGCTATAGTGACAGCTGTGAATTGCCGATGTTTGTGCTTAAAATCACAGAGCGAATGGAAACCATCCCATGGCTTAAAGGGAGTAAATCCTGATGGGATGGAACAGGGCCAGGGGTCCTTCCGCACAGCACACAGTGCTGAGCCCCAGGCAGGGGCGGGGCCCACAAGCTGTCAATCATCTCAGCCTCACAGGCCCAGTGAGTGCAGCCCAGGGGGAGGGAACTGGGCCCTGCAGGTGGGAGAGGCCTTCCCTTCCTCCAGGACCCTGAGCCTGGGAAAGCGCTGCTCTGAGTGACATGGAGGCCGGAGGGGAGGGAGGTCCGTTCACCCCCAGGCAGGGTCCCCAGATGAACCTGGGTCCAGGGGTCAGCTAGGGAATAAGCAGAAGCCACAGGTCACAGGCTGAGCCAAGCAGGCAGCTGCTGGGGAGCTCACCCCCTCGCAGACCAGAGGGGTTTTTGTCTCACTTCCCCACAGGCCTGGAGCACTGTGGGACCATCAAGACTATCGTCCCATACTGAGCAGTAATATTCTGCCTCGTCCTCAGCCTGCAGCCCCGTGATGGTCAGGGAGGCTGAGCTGCCAGACCTGGAGCCAGAGAATCTATCAGGGACCCCTGAGGGTCGGTTGCTATCACCATAGATGATGCATTTGGGGGCCGTTCCTGGGAGCTGCTGGTGCCAGGACACAGCGTATATAGCGTAACTATATCTAATGTTGAGGCTGCTTCCAGTGCAGGAGATGGTGACTCTCTCGCCCAGGGACCCCGACACTGAGGATGGCTGAGTCAGCACAGACTGGGCCCAGGATCCTGCAAGAGGGGGAGACACAGAGATGGTGAGTCTGGGTCTAGAGACAAGAGGAGGAAGCAGGGCCCATGTGTCTTCCCAAGGCCCCTTCCCCATCCCCTTATCCAGTCACCTGTGCAGTGAGCCAGGAGGGTGAGGAGGAGAGGGGCCCAGGCCATGGTGGAGGTCATCCCTGAGTCCTGCCTCCTGAGGCCCCACAGCTGAAGCAGAGCTCCCCACACCTCTCCCTTCCCCTCTTCATAGTCTGTGGGAGGGAGGGTCCTGTTATGCAAATGAGACCCCATTTTTTTATCTCTACTTGGGCCCTGGGCAGGGCCCTCTGCCTGAGGATGGCCATTGGTGTGGGCGGGGGTGGGGCTGTGTGGGGCCCAGGTTTGGGGAAGTCACAGCTGACAGCCCTGAGCAGATGGTCCTGGGCTTTGTCAGGGGCTGGTCCCAGCTCTGAGCACCCAGATCCCCTCTAGTGTCCAGGCCCAGACACGCCATGGTGAGCCATGGTCACAGACCTAGGCAAAGGGGACCTTTCCCTCCATTAGATTCACTCCATCCTACAAGTATGAGCCAATGATGCTGGGACAAGTGTCAGGGACCATCAGGGACAGAGCATGATGGGAGGAGCAAGAGGCGTGGGGGGAGGTCACGGCCCGCTGGCCAGGGGGGAAGGGCAGCTGGAAAGACCTGAGGCGTCCCCCCAGGTCCTGATGCAACAACCTGCCTGTCACTCAGGCCGCATCACATGGAGGGGGCTCCCGCTCAGAGTCAGAGTCACCCACAGGCAGAGGCTTCCGGGGCAGAGAGCCAGGGAGACCCTGAGGGTCAGTCGGGGCTGCCCCAGGTGAGGGGTGGGGGCAGCCTGAGGAGCTGTGGGTGCCAGTTCGCATGAACCTTCTTCTTTCTTATAAGTTTGCCATTGCATGCCTCTAAGCCTTTTTTAAAATATTTTTTATTGGTTTCTGTGAGGCAGGAAGACGAAAGAGAGATAGATAATATATTTATATTGGATTCAGAGAGGAAGGGAGAGGGAGAGAAAGATAGAAACATCAATGAGAGAGAATCATTCATTGGGGGCTTCTTGCACGCCCCCCACTAGAGATTGGGCCCGGCAATCTGGAAGTTGCCCTGACTGGGAATAGAACCGTGACCTTCATGTTCATAGGTCGATACTCAATTCCTGAGCCATGCTGGGCGGGCTGGTTGGAAATATCTTGATGATGTTGCTGTCTCTGGTGCAGGTGATGGAGACCCTCTGACCCAGGGACCCCACACCCTAACATGGAGGTTTCCTGTGCAGCCCCGACTGCGTGGGCCCAGGCCCCTGGAATGAAGGGGAGAAAGACACCAGGATTGTGAGTCTCTGGGTCTAACAACAGGCTGGGGCCCAGGGGGCAGGACAGAGCCTGTGTCTTCCTGGGACCTGTTCGCAGATGTGAAGACTCAGGCGCCTGTGCAGTGAGGGAGGAGGCCGAGGTGAGAGGGGTGCAGGCCATGGTGGGCGTGCTCCAGGGCTCCCCCTTCTAAGGCCCTGAGCCGGGAGGGAGCACCCCATCTCTCTTATCCCTCCCCAGGCCCCAGGGATAGAAGGTCCCTTCATGCGAACCTGTCCCTCCCATGGACTCTCCCAGAAACATCCTCTCTGTAGCGTCTAGGTCCTGGGATGCGGGGGTGGAGGGATGAGGAGCTGGGACAGGCCTGGTCTGGGGCTCCCTCGGGGAACCCAGTAACCACCCGGCAGAGGGCACCCACTACAGACAGACATGTGGGTTTCCAGCTGAGGGCGCCCAGCAGACCCTTTGCAGTGCTGTGTGGCGGCGCCCCCTGCTGTCCAGGCAGGACTTTCTCACGTGGGAGAGGGGCTGCCAGGCTCCTGCACAGAGGAACCACCTTCCTCACACTCAGCCCAGAGGCCCCGCCCCAAAGGGAACCCATCAGAGCCTCCCCTCCAGCTGCAGCCACATTCCCGCCTCAGCTAAGACAAGAGGAGGGAAGATCACCTTTTTAAATTTAAATGTTTTTATTGATTTTAGAGAGAGAGGACGGGAGAGGGAGAGAGAGAGAGACATCAATTGTGCTGGCAGGTGTGATATATTAGTCTTCCAAGGTGTGCTTCATACTGATCAGCCCTTAATATCCTATATCATTTTATTAGATCAACAGATAAACTCAGATTATCTCAATCCATATTCTGACAGAGCCTTTCACCGAATCTAAAACATATTTCTAATAAAAACTCATCAGATAGAAGCAGAGATGTTTACAATATGGAAACTTCACTCGCTCCACAGACATGAGACTTAATCCCACAGCAGCTCTTAGCTAATGGGTGGAGGAGGACATCAGAACCATCAGGAACAGGCCCGTGGGACTCTCCCTCCAATAGGAGTCAACATGACTCTGCGAGTTTAGACAATGAAGGAAACAGGAAGGGCTCAGTGGTTAGACCTCAGCATGGATGGTAATGGACAGGAGTCATTCCCCAGCCCAAAGGTCTGATACAGTAACTGGACAATCCATGGGCCGTGCTGCCTGTCCCTACTGGAGCCAATTAAGCAGAGACAGGGAGGAATCATATGAGCGTTGATTCCCATCCTGCCGCAGCCTGGGAGAGCAGCGGGTCACCCACAGAAATCTGCTCGGCCCCCCACTCCTCGTAAACCAGCTGCTTGTATCGGGGAGAAGGACAAGGATTAAAGGGGACTTAGGCAAAAGGTTTGCCAAATGGCAGTTCACAGGTAATGGGGGCAGGAGATTCGCAAAGGCCTGTGGGTGTGCAAAGGGCTGGCAGCTCTAGTTTCTGCAACCAGGCTGGTCATCTTTCCATGATCACAGGCAGCTCCCCGATGGGGAGAACGGGTCACATTGACAGGTGAGCTCCCAGGTCCCAGGTGCAACTCCCAGCCAGGTGAGAAGGTGCCTCCTTTAATCAGAACAAAGCAGTCACGGTGAACAGGGCAGGATTCGTATTTCTTAGAATTCCAGCTGGTCCCCTACATTCCATTTGGGCCCCTGTCAGTACAGCCTGGGACCTAGTGGACACTATGGATGTGCTCGACTCAGACACAGCTGGACCCTGGGGCCCTGGTCCTGCCCTGACCCATCGTGGACTCGGACCCAGGGCAGCTGCCCCCGCATCCGGGAGTTTCTGCTCCATTTGAGGAAATCCAGGCTGGAGGGGAGGGGGCGCAATGGAAAGAATGGGGACAGGTTTTCTGAACCAAGTTCACTGAAGTGGGTCTCAGGCCCATGTGCCCGGGCAAGCACAGGAAGCAGCTGGCTTGTCGGGGGAGTGGGGTCTGCGAGGGGAGCCCCATTTCAAGAGGGACAGCGGGTTTTTGTCTCAGTTCCTCACAGGCCTGGAGCACTGTGGCAGCATTAAGAGTCTTATCCCATGTTAAGCAGTAATAGTCGGCCTCGTCCTCAGCCTGCAGCCC